ACCCACATCACCGAATGGAACAGCCCCCAATGTTAGAGATATTATCTTTATTACAATAAATATAGAATATTTTTGGAATATACGGAGACGTGCACACAGGTCAGTTGTTGGCACTGTACTATTTTACTTTTCTAATTTGTGATTTCAGTGCAAACGAGATTTGACATTTGAAAGTGATATAAGGCCCATCTGCCTGATGAGATACCTGGGATGGATGGCCCTTATTTCGTCTCTATTTCTGGTTACTCGATGGTTTATGTCAACATAAAGAAAAGAACAGAATTCGTGAGTAATCGGTCCTCGGTTCTACGAACACCTACGCGTGAAAGTTGTTATAAGCGACGAAATGTTACCTGACCGAAACTCCTCTGATTAGATAATAATTCTACACTATAGAGGAATTTCTTTCGAAGCAATTTTATTTTTTGAACCAATTACTCGCGGATTTTTCGTTAAGACTTTAGGACATGCTTCAAGTATTATCAAACAGCTAAGTAGTAAGCACTAATTATCTCGCTACCCAATTCGCCTAAAACCTTCATTAGGTAGAACGCGAAATGGGGAGTAAAATTACTCCGCTTCATTGTATTACCGATAATTATGTTAGTCGGTTTTTTGTTTTCCACTGAGAAGAACTATTCTAAGGCCTCGTTTAGATGATGCGATGTACACGTGTTGGAAAGGTGCTATGAGCTTGTAAGTCAGAATAGGAATGCGCGCGTATTCATAGTGCGTGAATTCACGCGTAAATCGCGCCATCTGGACAAGCTTCAAACGGATTTCATCTAAACACAACTAAGAGCGCACCATATTTTTATGCACTTTAGGTGCAGTTTTGATTAAATCAAACGTACTTTTAAGGCTGCTAACAGATTGACTGCATGTTTGCAGTTGATAATGGCTTGACGCATTGACTGCATGCAGTCGATCTAGGCTGCGTAAAGTCGGTTTCGACTGCATACAGATTATGCGTGAAGTCATTATCCGAGACCTCGACTGCATGAAGTTGATAACGACTTCACATGCACATGCAATTAATCTTTTAGCAGTCTAAATCAGTTATATGATGCTCTCTTAGGTGGTCATAGAAGAGATGCGCCTAGTAGATTCGTATAACTGAACAAATAATGCCAACTGCCCCTTCTCATCGTCATGCCGTTCTTAAAAAGGGGTTCTGGACTGAAGCATCTGAAATTCTAAGTGGGGCACCACGTAATTTTATTAACTGTACTTAATTGACATCGAAGTTTAAGAACGCATTGAGAAGTGTTAAATGAAAATCTTGACAATAACAAGCGTGAGCACAATTTTTCTCCAAACTCCTTATTAATTTACCTGTTTTTATAATCTAGTGATTGTAAAAAAAATTTGCTCGCGTCTGGCGCAAGGCGTACTGATGTCAGCAGGCCATTGTAATCATATAGTGAATATAGATTAGTATCTCATTAAAATTGTGTTTTTATTTGCGCTCGCGCCCGTACCCCGCGCCCGTCCTCGCCCGTGTGCTCGGCCAATGGCTCTGTAATGTCGCTTGCTTGCTACGCTGTCTTTTGTTTGGCTACACTTCTGTGTTGATATTATGATAAAGAATACCATCTGTGACTGATATTGGTGGCACTAACTCGCTATGACGTTAAAGAAATGTTAAAAATGTTGGATTCATGTCGAATAATTCATTTCCTCATGGCTTGATAATACGACTAATTGATAATATTTAGCTTGAAACTGTCTGTGGTAACTTGCCGATATAACCTTAAGTGTTTTGTGTAAAAGGAACTAACACTTAACATTTTCAAACAGAGGACACGACCAATTTGATGACGAAATCTCTGACGTCATCGCTTCAGCAAGCGGTGAACACGGTGCGCGAATTCACGCCGCCCTACCTCAACATGTTGGAGCAGCCGCTGGCGCTGTTCGCGCGCAATGACGTCATCGACACCGCCACTGTCGCCGCTGAGGAGTCCTTCGATCTGCCACCGATCAAACACCTCCCGCGGGACATCTCAGACAACGTACTAGAGTCGATTATCAACGAGTTCAAAGAAACCAGCGACGCTGAAGAGATCCGGCGGGTGAAATCCGAGGAGATCGAGAGAAAATTCAAGCTGTACAGTAGCATAATGGAGAAGAAGTACGACGAGGAGGTGATACACTCTAGTCGACGCTCGCGGCGCGGGGGCTCCGGCGGGTCCACGCCGCGGCACCACACACCCGTGCGTAAGGCCCCCCCCGCCGGTGACGTCAGCTACACCACCCCGTGCGTCATGAACGTTAGTGTTTGTGGGTACGTACGTTTTTTTTATGAATCTTAAATATGAGAGTCACTGCCACTGCGCCCGTCACTCCGAGACGAAGTTGACAAGTCCTATGTACCTCTAGTTTCACCAACACCCTTGCTTACATATATACATACTGCTTGGTGGTAGAAATAGCTTTGGTGGCAGTACCTCCCTGGACGAACTTATTAACTCCAGGTTTTTGTAAAGACAGCGCACTGTTACATTCTTCGCATTTTTTTTTGCATTACTCGTACTACATATCCGGCGATGTAACGTGCTGCAAAAATTATCGAAATTGCAGATAATACTGATAATGTAATATATAATAAAATAAATAAATAAAGAAATGTAGTATATAACTACAAAACTGAAAAAATAAACCAAACGTTACTAAACGTTGTAACAAAAGAGTTATAGAAAATTTTTATAATATTGCTCAGGTCATAATAATTTTTGTCCCTTTCTTTTCAAAATCCTAGTGACGTACCTAGTGTAAATACAATGTAGTATCTATGCATTTTAATGCTTACCTGGGATGATGAAATTTGGCAAATCTTATAAGCGAAAAACACAACCATATCATTCTACTAAACTCGGGGTTCTACGGGGGCACCCGCGGGAGTCGAACTTTGTCGAACGTTAACGAAGACATAGTAGTGCCGTTTACACAAATACGAGCATTGGGAAAGTCCAGTTTCACACCACTCTCATTACCCGCGGGCTCCCAGTACCCCGCGTTCCGAAGTTCGAAGAGCGATATATTTTACATAGCTAGGGGGATCGTTGGGTTAGTTAGCTCGGTTAGCTTAGTTCGACCAAAGCATGAAAACATGCTACGTGAGCTAAGCTAAGTTATATTAGCTGGCAATGAATTATTAATCTCGTATACAAACTATGTCATTAATTATTAGAATTATGGAATATCTTAAAACCAGTATAAAAAGATCACGATAATTACCATTAAAAAGCTACTATGTTATACTACTAGCTGTCTACTGCTAGGTTTAGAAATTTGTGAATTAATTTCAGAAGGGTGTATTTGATTTCAGCAATGTGACCGAAGATAACGACGATCTTCTTGAACAGCAAATAGAAGAGAAAGAAAAGATCTTAGCGAAGATGCTCAACCTAGAGTCTTTAAGTCTAACGCGACCCACGCAGGAGAAACTTGACAGAAACCACGAAGACATTGTCACAGAGTACAACAAGAAAAACATCATAGACCAATCAGTAATCGACTCTATGGAACCGGTCACGGAAAAACCGCCGACGAGGTTCATAAGCGAAAATAAAATTACGAAACAAGAATCTGATTCCGGTGATTTAATACCTAAAATCGTTAAACTGCCAAACACGTGGAACTTGGAAAACATAGAGCTTAAATTGGAGAGTAAATCTATGAAAAATGGACACGATCTTGTCTCCCCTGACGAAACCATAGACGGTGAATGGGAGTTCATCTGATAGCGAGCGATGCGTGACGCATAATATGCTGCACGTTTTAAAAATTAATATAATATCATAATAACTAGTGCTTTGATATTTCTACAGATTTTTCAACGGAAATTTAGACTGGACAGGAGATCTCCTGCATCACCGAAAGAACGTAAGTTACAATTTTGATAAAAATAGTTATTTGCATATAGGAAATGATAAATTGTTTTCGGATCCAAATCACGTGTATTGGATACGAAAACAATTGTTTCAATTCCTATGTGTAACTATCGCAAAAATTGAAGAACTCGGCTAATTATTTGCGTAGGTCAATTGACAACATCTTTTTTTTTTTGTTTTTGGTATTATTTATTGAGCATTGGCTATATAGAGCCATCAACTAAAAATGGTAACACATAATTAAGAAACTCAAAACGTAATAGTAAAGATTATTTTGTGTAATAACCAATTGTCGGAGGGTGTTCCAAATGAGTAGAAAAAGATCTACATGAATATAAGGACATAGAGGTGACTTAGGGTCCTATTCTAGAACTCTACTCAATGTTTAAGTCAGGACTTGAGTATAATTCAAAGCACTAGAAATCATACTCACGTCCTTGCCATTAGGGTCGTATTTCCAGTGCTTAAAATCATACTCAAGTCTGCTCAAATCCAGACTTGAGCATTGAGTAGAGTTCTGAAATACGACCCATAGAGTGGTACAAGTTTTTCGGATTCCGGATTTCTTTAAATAGGTTTACTGCAGCATGACGTAAATCCACTTACCCAAGAAGCTGAAGTTGGATTTCTAAGAAATTTTAGTTAAAGTTACGTCTTGTAAAATAAACTGTTGTAGGTGAAAGATTAGTTATTTATTAAATTTTCTTACATGGCGCCATCCCAACTTCAGCTTTCTAGCGCGACATATGTTGAAAAGAAGGAAAATAAATTTATTCAGCGCAAGCACATGTTACAAATACAATATGATTTTATGCTTAACATGTATTGTACTGAAAAGGGCCCAACTCAGCAAATGCTGCGGCGGAGCCACAGCTCTGGTTTTTCTGTGGACTCTTTTCGACGTGGCCGATTAAAAAAGAAAAAAAATTAAAAAGCAAATAAAAAACGTAAAAAATTTAAAATAGATACAACGTATAAATAACTCAATTAGATCAGAAAAATGTCGTATGCCTACAAGCGTTTTCAATTAGTTTATTATGTCTTTATGTATTTCATGTCTCTCTTTGCGTTATACAAATAAATTTTTTCCAGGCGTATTTTGCAGTATTAAAATGGCTCTCTGAATTTATTTTTGAAAGTATAAACGGATTTATGTTGCCATTTTTCGATTTTTTTATTGTTATAAAATTGGTATTCCATGTGACGGGACGAACAAGTCGCGCGCCTGGTGGTAAGCGACACGCCTATCTATAACAATTGTAGTGCCACTTAGAGGTTTTAATCGCAAATACGAGTATCTTAGGCGCACTGCCACTGTGCCCGTCACCCTGAGACATAAGTTGACAGGTCCCATGTGTGTATAATTTCACCAGCACCCCTTACCCTTCCAATCTGGAACGCAGTAATGTTCACATTACTGCTTGGCGGCAGAAATAGGTAAAGTGACAGTACTTCCCTGGACGAACTCCTTCAAAGGGAGCTCTACTGCTACTAGCATTCGATGCTCTCGCACAAGTCGCACCCTGTCGCGCTAGCCCTATAGGTGAATAGTTTTATGCGATGCAGTAGAACTATTTTTAGGAATGCAGAATTCGAAAAAGTAATTAATAATTTTTTGGTGGTATACTTATTTAGACAATTCATTTGAACACCCTATTCCGACCATTGGTAATAACCAATAACTGTATCTACAATATTATCCACAAATTATATAATTAAATAATAATTTTGGTTCTTTCACCATATCTCTTCACCTTTTCTTTTGTTACTTTCTAATTGTCACCAAGAAAGCACTGGTTATTTGCCAATAAATATTTGTATTTAGCATGGGTTATTCCCAGATCGACGTAGCATCACAAGTATATGTATATAAAGTATTTAATGGTTGCATTTACGAGGCTTGTAAGCGAGCACCGGAAATCTGCGGTGATAAAAAGCATCATATTTTTTTTATTACTCTTAAGATGATAGTTTTAAGAAATTATCAAGTTATTTATATCACTTATAGCCCCTTTACTGCGTTAGAACGGTTACACACGACACTTTTAGCACAGATATAAACGCGCGATTGCATCTGGACACTAGCGATTTATAGGCGGTTGCATCGATATCGTAGCTTATGTAGGATTTTCAAAAACGTTTCAAAAACAACAGGACAAACTACGACTGTTCTAACGCGCCTCCACCGTGCCGGCCGGAGCGCGACACTCGTGTCTAGAGGGGGGCGTTTAAACAAAAAACTCTTAAGAAAGTTTGCTTTTAAAAATAAGCACGTAAGCACGCTTTTCAGTTTAAGCGTAAGCGTCACTTCTATACTAAACAATTTAATTGTTTACAATGCGTAAGTTTCAAGTATCGCCAATTATGTTTCCTAAACAAATAATAAAACTCGTGTTTTACAAATAAACTTACTTAACCTTTAGAGATCTACTCTTGCTTTTCGCTATCAACACAACGTTGCAAGCTTTTTTGAACATAAAAGTCTATTAAACATGTTTCTGAACGATTTTTAAGCGTCAAAATAAAAAGCATTTAGTTAGAATCGTCCAATTTTTATAAAAGCTACAACGTTTGTAAAATAAGCAGTTTTTCCCATCTCTACTCGTGTCCCGCCGCCCTCGCCGTCGAGAACAACAACATGCAAACCTAGCATTTTGATCTGCCGCCATCGGCCTGCCGGTCGCTATTGTCCACTTTGCAGCCTAAAGGTAGACGACTTTATCGACTTTTTTAACGTTAGCGACTAAATCTGACAATCGCCATGTGTAACCTCTCTTACTGTAGGTAATAGGCAAATTTTTCAAAGCAATTTACTTTCGGTTTAGCATTTGAGCTCTTGGAAACTTATTTTTACAATGTATATAAAACATAGATATAGTAAGATTTGTTATTGGGTTTTTCATTAGCTGGATAAACGGATTTATGAAGGGTGGAAAATTAATGATATGTTAAGGGTAAGTACCATAAATACGTAATTTTACTTAAAATAAACATTCCTTTATTTTTATTTATATAAATAACTGCATTCACTGGTTTTTTGAAAAGTTTTAACTATCGGAATCGTACCAATTAAAAATGCAAAATCTATTATACTAATCGATAGGATTAATGATAAAATTTCTCGAACAAACACTGGGTCTGATAATTAAATACGTCCATGTTTTTTTTTGTAATACCAAATGACGAAATGAACAAATCGTGCCCCTGGTTACCAAGTGCCACGTCTATCCATAACACTTGCAAATACCATAACACTTGAAATGTAATATTGTTATCGACTCGAAAAGAGAAGGGGCACCGCGAACGATGCTAAGTTAGCTTTAGCTAACTGACCTTTGCCTATATCATAGCTGCATGCAAAACGAAACTAAGAAAATACGGGGCCGTAGTAACTGCTGCCACTCGAATCTACTCTTTCCTCGCATGGGGGTAAAGGGCGACAGAGGTTATTTAGCATAGTGTGATCGTTAGGTATTTAGCGCACACAGTTCAGTTAGTTCGGTAGATTATTTTGCGGTGTGAACAGATGGATATGGAAACATGCCACGGCAAACTGAACTAAGCTAGCACGAAGGATTCGTAGGTATTAACTAAATATGCATTACCTTTTTTAACTTTTTCACATTGTCATATTTTTTTCCCTAAACGTGAATGTAAAATTTCATGGTGTTCCTATAATTGAAGGTTCTATACTAATGAAAAGGAACTAGTCCTTATAATTTACCCTTTCGGTCAATTTTTTGGTCGGTTCGATTCCCAGGTAATGCAAGCTTTAAAAATTTTTGAATGCAGTATTACTTATTATTAACAATAAAGTCTCCATGACGCAAAATATCCTATCTATAATATTTAAAATACTTTCCCTTCGTGTCTCATAGCCATGGGACACACACTGTATATGTTATTGCCAGTGTTTAGGAAACAAGAATAATCAATATAATTGAGTTCGTAAAGGCATTTCATCTGTCTTTATGTTCTTATTTACGCTGCCATACGACGTCCATAACTCTGGCTTTTGTTAAGTTTGCTTGTTATTAATTTTGTTTTCTCGTCACCCACTGCCCGTTTTATCTTTTTATCTGATTCTAATTCAGTGAGTCCATTGAGTACTGAATCAAACTCATCACTATACAACAAACATGGCAACATTATTTTACAAAGTGACGTTAATGTCACTATTAAATATAAATTATAATTTCGTCGTTTCATTCTCGATATAATAATCAATCAGGTAATTTCCTTAACTTACTGGGCAACACCGCACGGTTTTTAGAGAGGAAAAGAAATGTTTTGTCGTTGACACTCCCTACCAGGCATCAAACGCCATTTTCTATCCTCATTCCTTTTTCGTGTGTGGCAACGAGCACACCTCCACAGCTCCGTTAAGAAGTTCGTTTGATCATCTATAGCTACTAATAATAGCTTAGACTGTTCCTTTATTTATTTTTTCCATCCTCTAAGAATAATAGCTGTCAGTTTTGTCCAGCTAATTAAAAATCTGGCTAAAGTGGCGAACGTTCGCGAGTGGGAAGTTTCATAATGGTCACCACAAAAGATGTAACAATTTCCCGCGATATAATAATTACAACCTACGATCTGGCAGTGTGGCCAATAAGACACCTTAGCCTGTCCCGAAAGACTATAATAATTTTACTACTTACTCGTAACGACAAAACAGATACGCCAGTCAATAAATAGGTTGATATTATTAATTTATGTGCTTATGCAAATTGCAGCTCTGTTGCTCTTTATATTTTTGTTAATTATTTAAGAAAAGATATTAATGTACATTGTTTGAATAGATTTTTTTATGCCAACAGAATAATATTTTCATTGTGTAGTAAGTTATATGAATAGGAAATGAAACTATTTTTCCGGATTTAAATCGCGTATATTCGTTTGTTCAAACAAACCAACGTTTCGGGGCCTTTACAGTCCCATGGTCACGGGTTTACGGGTCCCATGGTCACAGTTGACGGTTCATTTCCTGTGTAACAATTGCGAAAACCTAAGAACTCGATATATGTTACTAACATCATAAAACCAACTTTTGTCCCATGACTATAAATAATTCATTAGAGCTTACTCTAAATGGTGACAACTCTGTGCTTTTGTAAAAGAAGCGCTAGCATAAATACCAAA